ATGAGGAGAGATTAATAAAACTGGGACTTTTCAGCTTGGAAAAGAGGCGACTAAGGGGGGATATGATAGACGTCTATAAAATCATGAGTGGTATAGAGAAAGTAAATAAGAAAGTGTTATTTACTCCTTCTCATAATACACGAACAAGGGGCCACCAAATGAAATTAATAGGTAGCAGATTTAAAACAAACACAAGAAAGTATTTTTTCACGCAACGCACTGTCAACCTCTGGAACTCCTTGCCAGAGGGTGTTGTGAAGGCCAATACTATAATGGGGTTCAAACGGAAGCTAGATAGATTCATGGAAGATAGGGCCATCGATGGCTATTAGCCAGGATGGGCAGGAATGGTGTCCCTAACTTCTGTTTGCCAGAAGCTGGGATTGGGTGACAGGCATGGATCACTTGATGATAACCTGTCTGTTCATTCCCTTTGGGGCACCTGCCATTGGCCACTGTCAGAGGACAGGATACTGGGCTTGATGGACCTTTGGTCTGACCCAGTATGGCCGTTCTTATGTTCTTAATGGCAGATCCAAGGGATAATTTAATCATGACTGCTTATTTTGCTTAATTCCAACTGATTTGGAAAAGAAAGTCCAATAATTAGGAGAGAGCCTAAACAAGGAGAAATCTTACATTGCACCCAAAAGTGACAAGGATTGGCTTTGATGGATATTTGTTGGGAGCAAATTCCAGAGCCAAGGGTCACAGTTGAGAAGGCACTACTCTGTACAATGCCTTCAGGTTCAGCCTTTGGGACAGACCACTGAAGTATTCCACTAGTCTGCAAGTATAGTAATGGGACACAGAGGGAGAGTTGGTCTCTGATTGTAGCTGAAATTTAAGCCATTGTGATGTGTAACTTAGAAGCTGCCTGTGTAGGCTGTATGGAGCAGAGTACCACTATCATGAGTTACAACTCATGAGAGTTGGCTCACTGCCAGAAGGCTTTTACTCTGAGGGGTTTATATATATATATATTTATAATATCTCTGGTATAATCTGTAGTCCCCTGAATGGACTTGTTATATTCAACAAGAAAAAACTCTTTGCTCTTGGGCCACAAGTCACTATAGACTTATTATCCTCCCTTTCCCTCCCCTACCCCCCAGAAAAAAAAAAAGCAGTCAAATAGAAAAAGAGAAGAGAGGATTTGAGTCTGTAAATAGAAGCTCTGAATTTGTACATGAAGCAAAACCTATTGAAGTCATATGGATTTTTCCGGAACTTAAATCTATCTTAAATTTTCTTATATTTTTATTAGGGTTATTGACTAATTGCAGTTAACTCACGCGATTAACTCAAAAAAATTAAACATGATTAAAAAAATTAATCACGATTAATCGCAGTTTTAATCGCACTGATAAACAATAAAATACCATTTGAAATTTATTAAATATTTTGGATGTTTTTCTATATTTTCATATATATTGTATTCTGCATGGTAATTGAAATCAAAGTGTATATTATTTTTTATTATAAATATTTGAACTGTAAATAATGTTTGTCAATTCAGCTCATACAAGTACTGTAGTGCAATCTCTTTGTCGTGAAAGTGCAACTTACAAATGTAGATTTTTTTCGTTACGTAACTGCACTCAAAAACAAAACAGTGTAAAACTTCAGAGCCTACAAGTCCACTCAGTCCTACTTCTTGTTCAGCCAATTGCTAAGATAAACAAGTTTCTTACATTTACAGGAGATAATGCTGCCCTCTTCTTATTTACAATGTCACCAGAAAGTGAGATCAGGCATTTGGATGGCACTTTTGTAGCCGACATTGCAAGGTATTTACGTGCCAGATATGCTAAACATTTGTATGTCCCATCATGCTTCGGCCACCATTCCAGAGGACATGCTTCCATGCCGATGACGCTCATTAAAAAAATAACGTGTTAATTAAATTTGTGACTGAACTCCCTGGGGGAGAATTGTATGTCCCCTGCTCTGTGTTTTACCCACATTCTGCCATATATTTTATGTTATAGCAGTCTCGGAGGATGATCCAGCAAATATTGTTCATTATGAGAACACTTTCACTGCAGATTTGACAAAACACAAAGAAGGTACCAATGTGAGATTTCTAAAGATAGCTACAGCACTCAACCCAAGGTTTAAGAATCTGAAATGCCTTCCAAAATCTGGAGGGACGAGGTGTGGAGCATGCTTTCAGAAGTCTTAAAAGAGCAACACTCCGATGTGGAAACTACAGAACCTGAACCACCAAAAAAGAAAATCAACCTTGAGCTGGTGGCATCTGACTCAGATAATGAAAATTAACATGCATTGGTCCGCACTGCTTTGGATTGTTATTCAGCAGAACCCGTCATCAGCATGTATGCATGTCCCCTGGAATGGTGGATGAAGCATGAACGGATATATGAACCTTTAGCACATCTGGCACGTAAATATCTTACGACACTGGCTACAACAGTGCCATGAGAATGCCTGTTCTCACTTTCAGGTGACATTGTAGACAAGAAGATGGCAGCATTATCTCCTGCAAATGTAAAAAAACTTGTTTGTCTGAGTGATTGGCTGAACAAAAAGTATTTTTGAATGCAGTTCTTTTTGTGTGCATAATTCTACATTTATAAGATCAACTTTCATGATAAAGAGATTGCACTACAGTACTTGTATTAGGTGAATTGAAAAATCCTATTTTTTGTTTTTTTGTACAGTGCAAATACTTGTAATCAAAAATAAATATAAAGGGAGCACTGTACACTTCGTATTCTGTGTTGTAATTGAAATCAATATATTTGAAAAATGCAAAAATATTTAAATAAATGGTATTCTATTATTGTTTTACAGTGCGATTAATCGCAATTAATTTTTTTAATCGCTTGACAGTCCTAATTTTTATGGCTTTTTCTTCTTCTCTGTCAGATCCTTCCTTAAAACTTGATCCTTCCACTTAGTCTTCTATCACTAGTATCCTTTCCAGGGCTGTCTGCTGCCACTCTCACACTAATCCTTTTATAATCTGTGTTGTATCAATCTGGTTTACATGATAAGATCTTTGGGCAGGGCCTTTTTTCTTGCACATATGTAAAATGCTATGTACTTCTAAGGCACTATGTAAATAACAAAACTAAATCTCTGAACTAAAAGTTAATTTTGTGGTTCATAGTGATGATAGTCACTAATATGGTTGAAGATATGATAAAAAACTAGGTCTCACTTTTTATCCTTTTGTAAATGTGCTTTAAGCCATATTTATATTTTAAATAATGTATTCACTGTCTGAGCAGTCAGGTCAGCTGACATAACAACGTGAATGGCGGGGAAGAGAGATCTCTGTTGCCATTTAGTACAGTTTTTCTATTGGAGCACCATCCCCCCCATCATCTGTCAGAGGACAATCAGAAGCGAAGACATTATTTTATCTGGATAGAATTTCATTTTTGTAGGGACTCTGACTCAAAGACAACACTGTATTGGGTCTGGTTGTTTGAGAGCTTTCTGGCTTTGAGAACTTTTGATCCTCATGCAATTATTTCTTTGTTATGAAAGCATCATGGTGGGTTTCTATAAAATCTTCAGAATAAATCATTGGTGAGGGGGAGAGAATAATCATACAGCTCCTCACTTGCTGTGCACCTGAAGTGCATGGAAGTGAAATTTAAACACAGTAAAGATGGACTGTATATTTTGCCATCCCTGTAATAAAATCTCACGGGAAATACCTTCATACAGTGATTCCTGGGGCTCAGGCTAGTGTAGTATCTTGGCTCTCTGAGCTCTGGTCAAGTGTAGGTAGTCTCTTGGTCTATCCAAGGCTGTGATCAAGTGTCTTGATGTTTTTGGTCTTTTGGCCTCGAGATGAAAACCTTGTCTTTGCTTCTGGGACCTTGAAGTGAAAAAATTTCCTTAGAAAGCCAATATAGAAATTGATATATGGTGTAAGGTGTATAACTAATTTTGTTCAAATGTAACTTTTTTCCTAAAGTGGTATTGGTAGAGATATTGTGAATATACACTGAAAGGAACTTTACATATAATATTTGATTAAGGTTGGCTTTTTGTCCCTTACTATAAGTATACTGTATGTTTCTTGACGTTTATACATGGCTATCAGAATAGCTCCAGCAGATACGAATCAAGAAGCAGTAGATTTAGTTTAGTACTACAATAGCTTTCTAAATTCTTGTCCATTTGATTATTCAGTTGAAAAACTTTTTTTCAGTTAAATTGATCTGAATATACACTAATCTAAAGCTCGTGATCTATAATTGCTCAGCTGGCATCACTGTAGGCCATACAGATTTCTTACCCAAAAGGCAGTTTCTTTTCTTTGCACCACATTTGAATTCAAGTTTAATTAGCAAAGCCATAGCAGTGGAGTTTTGTGGTGATTCCCTCCCTCATCCCATTTTCTGACAGAAACATGCAAATATTCTAACAATCTGTACATGGAAATACAGAAATATGACTTGTTCACACCCTGTCATATGACAGGCACTTGGCTAGAATACTGTAATATCAATGTACTATGTCAGAGCATTTGAAAAGAAGTTGCACTGTCTCCTTTTAGTTGCATACAAGATGGGCTTCAGGGTACAGGCCTATGCTTTCTGCTTGTTAAAGGAGGTGGAGGTTTTACTTCTCAGTCATAGCAGTGCTTTATGGGTAAAGATTTTTCTCTGACATGCCGCATTTTGAAAAATATTCTTAAACAAGATGTTCAACAGTTTTTGATCTTCTAATTTCTGACAGAATCATACCAAATTCCAGTCACTGATACTGTAGTTCCAAATTGTTTACATCTAAAAGCTACAGAAGCCACTGAAGCTTAAATTAAAAAAAAAAAGTTTGTGTGTTTGTTCATGGGACAGTCATCCTTGTTTCATAAGCAAGCTGTTTTTAAGAGATTCCTCTGTAGTGAGGATGCATGCTAACACCTCTTTTTTTCCCTACTGCTTCAAACTATATACAATACACCTGTTTCATTTTTATCTGTATTTTTGTTTCTTTCTTTAATATGGACTACTTAGGAGACAGAGATGAGCTGAATTACTCAGAAATCAGTTTATCCAGAAGAGGGCAGTCTCAAACAGAAGAGTATGATAAGTAAGTGTACCAGTCTGTGGTGATAAAATGTCATCATTTTCAGTGATGAGGGAAGTGACTATTTCCTTAGAGAAATAAAACTTAGAATGATTGTTCTTTTATACTTGAGATTATACAGGGTGGGATTTTCCAAAGCAGATAAGGGAGTTGGACACCCAACTCTGATTTTTCCGTGGGATTTGGTAACCTAACTTCCGTACCCATTATTAGACATCCCACCCATAATGGCAGTATTGTAATTAAGGTACACAAAGGAATGTGTTTTGTTTTTCCAAACTGTTTCACATGTGCAAGCTCTTTAGATTTTGCTGGAAGCATTGCTTGTGGCAAAGATGCATTGCCAAATTGTAGTGGTTGATTTTGATACCTCTCATCACAGTGGGTCATGATTCTGACTTCAAATGTATATTTGTTTTGTTAAAACGTTCCCATAAGAATCTTGTTTTTCTTGCTGCAAACTGACTTTAGTACATAAGCCTTCTGACAGTGATGGACATACTTTAGTACCTAAGCCTTCGGACAGTAATGGACATACTTTAGTACCTAAGCCTTCGGACAGTGATGGACATTTATAGGCCTCAATTCAGAAAAGCACTTAAGCAGGTACATCAAGTTAGGTGGCTGCTCAGATGCTTTGCTAAACAGGGATGGACATAAGGAGTGCATAAGGAAGGAATGCTAGTAGATTCCCATACAGAACTGGAACTTAACCTGATTTGACTTATGATAAAGGGACACCAATTTTAAAATTTACCTTGATCTTTATTCATTTTGAGCATGGTATTTAAATCCTCTTTCATGAATAGTTAATTTTTTTACACTAAAAGCTGTGGGTTTACTTGTAGGTTTTATTATTTTTTGGAAAACATTTTACTAGAGAGACAAGGTAGGTGAGGTAATATCCTTTATTGGATCTTTTATTGTTCTCACCAACAGAAGTTAGTATAATAAAAGATATTGCGTCACCCATCTTATCTCTCTAATATCCTTGGACCTACAATTATACTCCATACATGTTTTACTAAAGGTACATTGAATTTGTTTGGAAGTCACAAATGAATGTCAAAGTTAGTCAACTAAAACGCTTTCAACTATGGAAGAATTCACTACAGTGCCTTCATATGACACAGGTTTTTTTTCCCTTCATGATTAAACTAAAATCCCAAGAGAGTAACAAACAATTGGAATAATTAACCTAGGGACCTGGTTGACTCTCCATCACTGGAAGATTTTAAGTCAAGGTATGGTCTAAAAGGTATGTTGTAGCTCAAAAAGAAATGATGAGCTTGATGCAGAAACTTTTGAGTGAGGTTGTATGGCCAGGCTTGGTGATCATAATGGCTCCCTGTGGACCTTAAAAATTTTTTTAAAAATCTTTGAATAATCATAATCTCTTTAGGCAAATATTTACAAATGTCTTGTTTTTAGTGTGGAAAATTCTTAATCCAAGCAAATATATTCTTCCCATGATAAGATCCCTGGTCAATGTATATACCATTTTTTCCAAGTGGTGGTAACCTTGCAAGTGCAAACCCATTCAAGTAAGCATGGTCACTTTCGACATGTCAATGTTTGTATTCAATATGTTTAAAAATAACTGCAAAAGTTGAGAACAGCAGTTAGTGACATGTCAATAAAGCACATGTACAAACAAACACCTACATAGTAATACTTTATGTGAACTTCCATACGCTTTATGTTCTGAGGGGGAAAATATATTGTACGATACACTGACATTGGCATTTCCTCTTCTGGGTAACCATCTGTTGCTGTGTAAAAATGTGATGATAACTTCCTTTTTCCATAAGGCTCAGTATGACAATGAGATCCTTCCTTTTGTTGGGGAAAAGAAAAGTGAATGGATGTTTTCCCATTTGTCCATATTTGATTTCTATGCTGACATGCTGCAAAAAGAACCAGTTCTAAGTCTTTGTTATAAGAACATTTGACGGTTTTCCCCCATAAGTATTTAGTGCACATCCTCAATCATACACTGAATAATCTGTCATTTAGAACCTGATCCAATTGTGTCGTACTTTGCTTTTCTTACTAAGCTCATCAACCTCTAAAATCTGACTAATCTTTACATCAGTATTAGAACATGTCTGTGGACTGAAAGATGGTTTAGTGGTTAAGTCACTGAACTGAGACCGCGTGGGTTCAATTCCTGGCTGTGCCACAGCCTTCTTATGTGATCATGGGCAAGTCAGATTGGGTATGTCTACACTGGAAGTGGCAGCAAGCCTCCCGACCCCGGTAGACAGACTCGCACTAGAGAGGCTCGAGCGAACAGGTTTAAAATTTTGTTTTTGAAAAAAAGGAGTGTGGAGATTGCGGCTCAGGCTCTCAAGCTCACCTGACCCCCTAGGCTTGAGAGCCTGAGCTGCAACATCCACATTGCTATTTTTAGCTCACTAGCACAAGGCCCGCTAGCATGTGTCTGTCTACCTGGGCTTGGAGGCTTGTTCAGCTGTAGTGTAGACATAGCCTTAATTTCTCTGGACCCGAGTTCCCTATTTTTAAAACAAAGATGATACTTTCCTACTTCACAGTAGTGTTATCAGGATAAACTAACTATTGTTTACCTAGTGCTGAGACATTACTGTTGTTGGGGGGACCTCTAAGAAAGACTTTTTAAATGATTATTCCCAATAGATGCTGACATCATTGATTTAAATCATTTCTCTTTTATGTAGGTTTATGGTGTTGCAGTCTGAAGTTGAAAATTCATTGGTGAGATTTCTGAAAATGAGACAAAGCTTAACAAGTTTGCAGGTGTGTCTTTACTGGCATTAATTTTCTTAATGTACTTTAAAAAGAAACTAGAAGAAAATGAAATCTTATATACAGTATTCTTTGAGATTTAAAGGCAAGAAAAGAAAGCTTTTGACCTGAAAATCATTGAGACACAAATATAGAAGCTGACAATACCATTTAATTTTTTTTCCCAAGTCACTTTTCAAAGTACACTGGCACAATGAGTTTTTTATTCATAGATTCCAAGGCCAGAAGAGACTATTGTGATCATCTGGTCTGACCTCCTGTATGACACAGGAACATCTTTGCTTGTCCAGGATTTGAATCTGGGACAAATCCTGCAGCTAAAGTAAAATTTATACCTCTATACCAATGAGCCAAAAGGTCTGTTTTTAACTTGTCTCCCTGTGTCTAGGTTGTAAGGTCATTACTAAGTAGCATTGACAGAGTTATAAATTATTGCTGCCTAGATTTCATTAGAACATAATAATGGTCCATCTTGCTTGTCTTCTGACCATGGCCAGTGGTTCAGGGAGAATGAACATAACTGGGCAATTAACAAGTGATTCAGCCCTTGTCATCCAGTCCTAGCTTCTGGCAGTCCTACTCTTGTATGTAAGGACTTGAAAATTAAACATCTATTTGTGTTGAAGTCATCATACTGTTCAATTCATTGTTAATATGTCAACTTTTGATGGCGTCTATTTATCACACACAATGTTGTTTATTCATAGTCTCGTATGGAATAAATTCATGACAAAGTTCTCTTGTGTACTTCAGTGTCCTCAGAAATAATTCAGACTATTCAAATTGTTTTATTTTACTTACACATGTTACACACACACTGTTGTTTCAAAAAGACTTATTTAGATTGACACCCTGGCACTATTTTTGAAATTCTTTAATTAAAGATTTTCAATTTGGCTTTTACAAATACATTTAAAAACAAAATCTTGGCCTTGCTAATGAAATTGATACAGTGGGGATTTTTAGGTTTATTATTAAAGTTGAAAACCATATGCAAGAGATTCTTAAAAGCTGATAGATTTTTTTTTATTTACTAACATATTAAGGCAAATGTATACATGTACCAGAATTGTTTTTCTGGGGATCAGGTGTGAATCTCTTTATTTAAAAAGCTGAAGATATATAAATGAAGCAAACATAACCGGAGTTTTCAAATAATGTTTTCAAAAACACACAAGTTCCATTTTCAAAAGTGACCTACTTACTTAGGAGCCTAAGTCCCACTGTCTTTCATTTACTTAAGTTACTTAGGTGCTTGTGAAATTTTTACCCTTTGCTAGAGTAGGTTGTTAATTATAAATTGCATTGAAAATCTTTCTTAGACTGTTTATGCAGTGTTGTAACTGTGTTGGTCCCAGGACTTTAGAGAGACAAGGTGGGCGAGGTAATACCTGAAGGAGAGCTCTGTGTAAGCTCAAAAGCTTGTCTCTCTCACCAACAGAAGTTGATCCAGTAGAAGATATTACCTCACCTACCTTGTCTCTGTTAGTCTATATAGCAATTTGTTAGTTTAGGAATAAAATTAATATTGCTTTTAATTCTACTTTCAGGCTTTAGAGGGCAGTAGAGAGCTTGAAAATATTTTTGGCATCTCAGACTCATCCTGTAACTTGAAAGCTGAAGTGCAGAAGACCAAAGTGCTAAGTAAGCTTCAACAATTTTTATCTCTTTACTATAATTTGACAGCTAACACTTATTAGATTTTATTCCAAATACACTAATTTTAAATTTTGCATGAATACAATCACTAATACTAAGTGCTATTGTAATACAAATAGAAGTTTTCGTAAACAGAATGCTAGTGTTTGGTACTGTCTTTATGCTTACATTATTAACCAGAGCAAGTACATTCAGGATAGGGCGTGAGATTGCCAGGTCCAGGAAACAAGATGTCAAACCTACATGAACTTATAGCACCCTTTGTTTGTGGGCATGCACTCATTTCTGCTGACCGTAACAGGGAGAAGAATCATTCCTCTCATCTCTGAACTTGAGACAAAGTGCCATGTTATCATCAGAGGGAAAGATTGGAAGAAAAAAAATGGGTGGGACATAAGCACTAATTTGAGACGTTGTGCTTGCGTTTTGCAGATTATTTTTTATTATGGTTTTTAGCCAACAATGTGTGCTGTTTTTATTATCCTTTTAAAAAATCCATCTGCTTGGGGGGGGGAGGGTAAAGACGAGGTATCTTGTCTTTAACTGCTTTCATTAAAATCTTTAGAGTAAAGTTTTCTTGACCTTTAAATGTGTTTTATTCATTAGTGGCTCAAGCAGAAAAACGAAAGCTGCTGAAGAGGAGTAATGCAAAACATCCTGCCCGAGGTAATATTTATTTTTAAATTTGTTATCTAGCATCTGCTTTGATGGTTAATATCCATCGTCGGGTTCCTTTCAGTGACTTCCTTTTGAAAGTCTTCAATTAATCTTTAGCAAAGAACCATGTCAGATTTGTGTCTCCTTCCGATATATAGGCTAAATTAATTTTTCTTTTATGTTCTTTGAACTTCATGTTTCTTTTTAGCCTGAGTAGTTGTATACAGAAGTTCTTATTGCAGAAACAATGCATAAGGAGGGCAGTTACGTGTTAGTAGTGCACTGGGGCCTGATCCAAAGGCCATTGAAGTCAATCAGGCCCGTTAGCCTTTTTATTTATAAACATACCATCTACCAGTTTCTCCTGTTGATCCTCCGTCTTCCCTCGCACACAACTTTGTTTGCATCTTTTTGTGTCAGAGACCATCTCACCTTATCTAAATTGTGAGGTGACCAGTATACTCTTGAGGACATTGAAATACTAAATATTACATCATTTCATAACTTTTTCTGACAGATACAAATCCTGATAGAATTGATTAAAAACTCAATTGAAACTACAGTGGAAAAAGAATGGGTGTGTCCTAGGACACTAGAATGAATACCTTTGTAGGGTAGAGAAAGAGACGTGCTAAGAAGTTTCTAACTACAACAAATGGAGAGTACAAAACAAAGAAATGGTGTGAACTGAGTTAGTATTAATGTATTGTTGATTGGGGGCTTCCAAGCTTTCTGGTGAATTGTTACAGCAACAGACCAGTGTAATCTTTAAGACATGAAGAAGTGTCAATATATGACTATTGCAAATTTGTTCTGACTGTACAACTTTGAGATGAGATTGACAACGTTTAAGGGAACTTCTTTTCTGGAAAGCACGTGGCACTTAATGTAGGAGGAAGCTTTGGAGCAGCAGCAGCATCACCATCAAAGTAACCTGCTCTCCACTCTGGGAACCAGAGATTTACCATCTCGTCACTGGGCCTTTTTGCTGATCCTGAAAGATGTTGTGAGTGGATCAAGTGAGGAAAGGGAACCAAAACAACAGTATCTATTTCCAAGGCTGTACCCTGAGCAACTCCCAAGATGCAAACCCCCTCCTTCATGTCAGTTTCCACTCCTGTCTTGGTTAGGAGTCAGTGTGGCCTAGTGAATAGAACACTGGATTGGGACTTGGAGATCTGGTTTCTGTCTCCAGCTCTGCCATTGATTGGCTGGGTGACCTTAGGCAAGTCACTTCCCCTCTTTGTGCCTTATTTTCATATCTGTAAAATGAGGATAATGATACTGACCTCCTATTTTAGCACTTTGGTGGAAAGCCCTATATAAGAGCTAAGTGTTATTATTAGTTCTGTCCTCTTTCTCTATTTGCTTGTTCTCTAAAAAGAGTCTTGCTTAGCCAGCCAAGGTAAATATAACCTTGCCACTCTTGAGCACATCCAGTTTGGCAAGCTAAAAATGATTCCTGAGTGGCCTGATCACAATAAAAAATTGTCTCTCCCCTATACTGGCCAAAGGGAAATAAGATGATCCTAGCCAATCATTTACCAGGCCCAGGAAAGTAGAGCTGGTGTCCAAGAGGAGCTAACTGGGTCATGTATCTGTGGTCTTCCATCAGCCAACCTGCAAGCAACAGAGACAGAGATGCATTTTCCTGTCTTTTGTTATTCTATTCTCTTGTGCAGTTGGTTTAGTTTAGGAAGAAACAGGATCAGACTTAAACTGCAAAACCTGAGAGCTACACTATATAATTAATACTCTTTTTCCTCCAACAAAAACATTTAATGCCATTTTAAAAAAAACATCCAAGAAAGAATTTTTTGTTTTAAAATCTGTCTATATAGAGAGAGGGAAAAGAGACTATAAAGGAATTTAATATGAAGACTGTCTTGGTTTTTTAAAGCTACAATTTTTTTGCTTTTTCCTCCTCCTTTCTTTTGCTGTGTTTAATAAATAATAATGAATATCTTCTAATGTATACAACAAACAAAACTAAGATCCTAGCAACAGGCCTTTGAACCCCCAAAACCTCAACCACATTCTGCAAATTCTAAACTTAAAAAAAAAAAATCCATCTTTCTTGTAGCAAAGGTACAAAAGTAAACAACAATCATGAATCTGGACAATAGTTGATCCATATCCAATAAAATATTTGAAGTGCATCTCATACTAAGTCAGAGCTTCTAGCGCCTCTGTTCATTTCATAACTCAAGTATGTTGTCATTACAAAGTTTCTTTCAGATGTAAACAAACTTCCCTCTGTGTTTTACCTGATGGAATTTAGGGAGACATATAACAGACAGGTATGATTGGAGTCTCACTAGCGGAGTAGTAATTTCTAATAACATGAAGGGTAAAACCGGATAAGAACCCAGATTCTTTGAGTTTCATGGACTTCTGAAATTCCCTGGTGGAGAAATAATCCGATGAAACACTGTAGCGATTAGTAGTCAGTCCACTACCATTGACTCACTGGCCTCTACATGTGTTCTTCCTGCTTTCCCCCCCCACACACACACACACCCCCACACCCAGTCAAGTACCCATTATTTTCTGATGACAGATAAATGTGAGGGTAAGAGACTTGCTCTAAAGCCCATCAATGAATTTAAAATGTAGATAAGTGTAATTGGAAAAAAATAAAAATGAGGGAATTTCTACTGTCCTATGTTCTATCTGCAAAGGAAGATGAACGTTTTCTCCACCATAAGTTCCAACCAACAGAAACTGTTCCAGGTAGCAAGCCATCAAATCAACGTGGATTGCCTCTGCTCAGCTGCAGATCCCTATACTTCCTGCTGTGGGGAATTCTCCTCCTACAGTGAAAAAAAATGAAATTCAAGACAGTCTTGCTGGCTCAGAGGAGACTAAGACAGAGAGAAAAGGAACAAGTTGCACCATATTTTTTGGTGGAATTTGATCATTTGTGCAAGCTGAGGTTTTGAAAAGCATGAGGGGAAGTCTGCGCTGCTATCTTCACAATGGACCCCTGAGCCTCTTGGCCAGTGAAAACCAATGGAGAGCATCTTGGGCCAGTGCTGGCAGGCAGTTGGTGCCTCTCTTGTGGAATGCTTTCTAGCTGCCACAGTGAAGCAAATGTATAGGCCCATTTGTGCTACAGAAACTAGCCCATGCCAACTGTCAAGCTCGTTAGACGAGATTTTTTCGCCCTGAATCTGAGTTCATTGTCTGAAAGTAGGGCAGAAGCATAGTTACCAGTTGTAACAAAGTTGGTAAACTTAGTAAACTTTATCCATTTTAATTCTACTTCAACAAGGACTGAGCTTCATTGTGCTCTCTTTAAAAATATGGGAAAAAGAGGAGCAAAGAAAAAGTGTGATAAAAGAAAGTATTTGGAGATATTTTTACTTCACCCTTTTAGTTTTGGATGTGGTTTTTTCATAATTATTTTTAATTAGTTATGCTCAAGACTTGAAACCTATGACTATTCTGTGGCTTGATACAGATGGAATGTCACATTATCATCACATGGTGAGGCATGAAATTTATTTACTTTACATAAACAACCTCTGCTTAAAACAACTTAATACAGAAAATTCCTTAGTCAATGGGCAGCATTATGTAGAACTCAGTATATCATTTTGTGTGATCAGCATAAAAAATGGCATCATTGTTTGTCCATGGCTAGCATTTACAGTAAACAAAATGTTTTTGAATAAAATGTAAGCAAACTCTAGAGCAGCTGCCAAGAGATGAAATCTAGTCAGTTTGCTGCAGTCCAAAACATGCTTTGTGTGTGTTGAGAATAAATATATAGGTTGCACTATGCATATTTTAAAGAACGCTTAACAGTTTGAGCATTTAGAGGATTGACGATGATAAAATTCTAAACAGTGAAGCAGCTTCAGCTGGCAGTTACAAAATATTAATAGTTTCTCTACATTTCCTGTAAAGAAAAACAATGTAGCACTAAAGTGAGCATGAACCATGCCCATGAATGAATCTGTTGTGTTCTGCAAGGCGCAATAGAGAGTCTTCTGGCTAAAGATTCTCAGAAGATCATATATTTACAGAATTAAGAAAAACTATATTCAGAGCCTTAAGTTATAGGCTATATTAAAATAGGAAAATGAACCCATTTTCCAGATACTCATCTTTGCAAAAAGTTGGGTAAATTTGGTATTTGTATTGCAATTACTCTTCCTCAGCACCAGTAAGGAAGTTTTTCTTCCTACCTCTTTTTGTACAGGGCAATGGAACCAATTTCTGCCTCTCCTTGTACACACTCTTTAACTATGTTGGTTTTCAGGTGAACAAGCCAGTCTTTAACCAGATGCGTTTTCACTCAATCACATGGGAACAGGCAGTTACAGCTGTATGAGACATCAGTCTAGGGGGTTTCAAGATTCTTGTTATTCTCCACAGTCTTGCTATGCCTCACATGATGGATGGTGCAGTTTTCTTGGCTCTGGTTAGTTATACCTCATATACCAGAGGAGGCTGAGAAGAAGAAAATAACTGCTCCTCCATGCAAGCAGTGCACCCTGCTCCAACTGGGTCTTTCAGTCACTCATGGAAAAATTCTCAAACATCATGCTCTCAACCATCAGTTGCTACTAGACTACTGTTGCTCAAACTCACTGCCTCAACAGCAGCCAGCAAGAAGTTGCCTCTAGCAACCCAAGGTACTCAAGTAGGCAGCAATTATACCCAAACAAGATTTACATCAGGAGACATGCTGTTGTCTTCCCAGATGTATTGGCCATACCAGGTGTTGGCCATCACCTTTGTGGAGGCTAAAAATGTGGCTGGAGAATTTTTGTTAAACCTAAAACGCCTCTTGGGTTGGAGAGAGACCTTTAGTTAAAACCTCACCTTCACCACCAGTCAAGCTAAATTGTCTCAGATCCCTGTCTCATCTAAAGCTTGTCTTTAAATACTGTCAGGTCACTCTTCAATGAAAGACAGTTTCAGAGCGTGAACTCAGCTGCTAACTATGACCTTCATTGAACAGTTTGAGAATTAAGGAGCCAAAACCAGCCCCCTGACTGCCTTCACCTTGATGCAGCAGAGAATCTGACCCTTATATTTCTGCACAAACAGCCTGTGGAAGAGTTGTCCAACCTTCTGTTTTCAAGAAATAATCCCACCTTCTTGTATTTAGGGAGTGTTTACAAACCTAAACTAGTTGGACGTTATCCTCCACTTACACAGTAGACAATTAAGAACATGCAAACTGTAAAAGGGATTTCTTTAGTAGACAAAGATCAGTTTCCGCTTTGTTTTGTTTGTAGCCCACGAAAGCTTATGCTCAAATAAATTTGTTAGTCTCTGAGGTGCCACAAGTACTCCTGTTCTTTTTGCGGATACAGACTAACACGGCTGCTCCTCTGAAACCTTTGGTTTGTTTGTTTGCATAGTTGAGTCATTAATGCTGTTCAGAGATTTTTGCTTCATTGTAGCTTGCACTGTCTGGATAAAAGCTGTTCCTTTGGCTAAGCTTGAATAGAGCTCTTTTCTCATTCCATCCAAGTGTCCTCCTCCTCCTCCTCCCATCTTGGAATTGTACTTACGGGGAATTTTTTGCCTTTTCCAGCCTGTAAGGCCATCAAGTGTCTTGACCAGTGCCCAAATTCTGCAATGCCATTAAATTTTGAGTTAGGTTCAAGTGGTTGTCCTGGTTGAAGTGAGAGACTAACTTTGTCCATTAGAGAAATACCACTGATGGGTAAGAGCGATTGTAGACCATTTATTTTGACTCGGAGTGTACTGTTTTTTCTCTCTTCATCGTTAAAAATAAATTAATAAATCTTTCCCAGCAGGCTCTGGTTTTACTGTGTTGCATGTGCACCTTAGAGTGTAAATATAAAATACATTTTGAAATTTGGAAAGTGTGTGAGTCTGAGGTCAGAGACATGAGCTTTTTGGGGAGTAAGTTACAAACCTCTCCAGTGATTTAACATCCTATGCTATGCAGATGAAATATTAAGCTATTAACTGTTGGCAGACAGAAATGCACAATACACACAGCTATAGACTTCAGACATAGGTATATACTGGACTGTCAGCTTACCTTCTCTATGTGGGTATCATCAACCACATTGATTCATGAACTTTCACACCTTTGTTTATTCCCTATTTTCCTATCTACTTTTTTCAGAATCAATTAAAAAAAATAATCTGGCAGATCAAGGCTTTAGAGTATGAAGCTTAATGAAAAATTAAAAAGAACTACTGCTTCATTACAACATGAATATGTATAGCAACTCCTCCATGACTATAAATACTCTATCTGTATTCTCCTGGGAATATAATTATTTTAAATAAAGAAACAGTTTGAACTCACTTAGTAGCAATCTTATGTTTAAGAGGTGTAAATAACTTGCTATCCAGACATTACAAATATCCAGGTGCTCTATATGTGCTGATGACAACAAAATTGAAAAGAAAGACTGTAATAATTCTGACTGGTTTTCTCTGCAGAAGATATTGATTATTTGTGTGTGGTGAGAGATTTGGAAAATTCAATTAAAGGAGTTGTGCAAAGGTTTCATAAATTTTCCCTGTACAGCGTGTACACAGACATTGTTGTGTATTAAATCAATGCAGCACTTCACAATATATTTTCTTTGAAACATAAAAATAAATAACATTTAAACAGTTCTGCTTACTACAGAAACAAATTTTATTTTCTGTGAAGCATTTAGTCATGTGCTATCACTGACTCATACACATTTGCCAGCTGTAACAAATTTTATAGACATTTTCTCCAGAGACATAGCTCATATACTATGAATTTTTAAATGAGCAAATGGTGAAGAAGGGATGTCAGCAATATAAAAATTGATCAGTTAAAAGATAAAAGCATAAGTAAAGAGATTTGTATGGTAGTCTTAATAGGTTTTATTAAATAAAAATACTATAAAAAGACAGTAATGAATAGACTGAAGGTTTTAACTGTGGTTGAGGTGGAGAAAAATTATTCTGGCACATTTAGTAGAAGATTGGTTTTATAGCACCTGACAGGTGAACATTTTTTCTCTCTCCTTTTTAGATGTGTAAATGTTTCAGAGCAGTCCAATTTAGCGGTGGGGCCAGGGGGAGGAACGGGAGACAGAACTTGCGAAGATCCTGCCCTTTTGCTATACTTGTGGATTGGGAGGGGAAGGCACATGGGAACTTCTGCCATACCACAGAAGAAGCAGGGCAGGATTTGTACCTAGTATTCATGCAACTACCATGCATGCATCAGTGAGTGCGGGTGTGACTACCTGAGCTGGCAGCAATGCAGACATACCCACAGACCACTAAGTGGCAGTTCCAGATTGCAAGTATACAGCAGCAGTGCAGACCACCCTTAGGCCCCCAGCCCTGCCTCTGATGTACCCTTTCCATAAGGCCACCTGTGCTAGTTCTACCCTATTGTGGGATTCCCTTAGAGTAAGAGAATCCCCAAGAAACTGGTAACTCCACCCTTCCAACAAGGAGGGGAACAGGAAATCTTGCCCACAGTGCCCCTTATGTAAAACATCCACAGGCTATAAGACTTTGCTTAATATTGTCTGTGCATCTGTATTTAATTTAAGATTCCACCCCAAACAATTTAATCCTAGATTGCAGAAGCATGTAAACAAACGAGCAGTTCTAGTCTCTCTTTATCTGTCAATATTTCCATTCAAGCCCTGATAGAATACACATTAAATTGCTGTAGCTTTTAATTTTACATTTCCTGGTGTTTATCCAAACTTTTACTTGTGTGTGTGTGTGTGTGTGTATATATATATATATATATAAAACAATGTATTTTTAAGTGGTCAGAGTTAAGTAATGGAATCATGAAAATGTAAATAGCAAAACATACATTGTAGAAGCTGCAGTTTACAATATTGACAAATTATGAACTCTGGAATATTTTACTTTAGCAGCATGTTGATTTTGAGATTTTTATTTTACAAATAAAACACCATCATTCTGTTTGTGAAAATTTGGTTTTGTTTCATCCACAGAATATGTACAATCTGGTAACAGCTATGAATTCCTTAAATCCCTCATTAACTGAGGTAAGCAAGCTTTCCCACTTCAGTGTTTGACTACACAAACTAATGTTTACAATTAACAGTAATTATAAGGACTGAATTTATTTAAACATTTGCAAAACGATCATAGGTACAAATGTGCATGATCAAATTGTCTTATTTTGATCTGAAGACAATTGCTGCTCATGAATGTAATACCTCAATAATAAAAAACAAATCTACTTAAAATTTCTGCTGATTTGCTGTGCAAATTGGTTCCTGTTGAACCTATAGAAAGCTATCATAGTGAAGACTATTACAGGAGGATTTCTCCAAGTCACCAAGGTCAGGTGATAACTAGACGGTTTTTCAAATATTTCACACTTGAATAGGCACATGTGACCAAAGGAATAAGAGAATTTGAGTGCCAGAACAGGTTATACCTTCTTAGATATTATCGGTGACTCTCCTAATGAGCTGCTTCAAAGAGGACTGCCTGCCCCTGTCCTGGACAAATAGATTTACTATTCTATTCTATTCCTGAGGCCTATGCTGCTCGGGAGACATTGCTGTCCATTGTTTGAGCAGTAATGCCATCTCCTTGGCTCAAAGGGGCAATAGGAGGGTTTGTGTAGGGAACTATTTCCACTTAATATTGCCACTTTCCTATGCCCCTCCCTCACGTGTATTAGCAATGCCCTGTGTTTGCTGCTAGCCTATTTTTGAATTCTCTTTTTTGTGGACAGTGTGCTAATGATTTACTGTTTGTACTTTCTGGATAAAATTTCCTTTTAACAAAGTTCCTTTCTTTCTCTAATTTCATGTAAGCCAGATATGGCACATCTCCCAGCTGCTCACCTATTGTTTTATACTCTGTTTTGTGCCATTCACACTGGTGAGCTAACAGAAGCCACAAGGCAAGCTTTGTGGGTGCTCAATTTCTGTTATTCCATTGGATGCTTCTCCCTGTTCCAGTGACATAAGCAAAACCCCAACTAGAGACTGACCCTGTCAATCAGCAAAACACCACTTATGCATAAGAAAACTGTCTGCTCAGGGTGTCATGTTTCACAGATTCTTTTCAGACAAATTTTCATCTTTAGATATAGAGACTTATCTGCAGATTAATGGAGATTGATGGAAGGTATGAGCATATACCCCTCTTTAGAAAGTCAGGTTATTCTGAATAGTCATAATATAGTATGAAGAAGGGGGAGTTGGCTCACAGATATTCACAGAATGTGTATATTTAAAAAAATAAAATGCCACAAATCTAGAGTGTACACTTTTAATCATGTCTTCACTGTTCAGTCTTTCTAATAGGTAGTCAGTGATATCAACCTCTGTCAATTGTGCCTAGTAAAGGCATATTTACCTTTTCCTGCTTTTATTGTGTTCTTGTGTAAGTGACAAACATACAATTCATTCATTTTCTTACTACAAAAAGGCAAATAGTAAATCTAGTGATGGTGAAAAAGCTTTCTGCAGTTGGCAGTATTAGATTGTCCACTTTGATTTTCAACAGTACCAGGAGAATTAATTATGAATAAAAAACACCCTTTTATCTTCTAACATCAAAAACATTTTACCCCAATGTAAGAGAAACACAGAATTGTTCATTTTCTGTTGTATTATGTGTTTTTACATAATGAAGTTAGGGATAGGCAGATACGTTATTGTGAACAGAGTAGGCATATGGTAAAGTTGTCTAATTAAGTCTTATTTCAGTCATTCTTTTAACCCCACAGGCACTATGTGAAAAATGCATTCCGTATCAACACAAAGTTCTACATCTGCTTTATTGTACTTAAAAGGAGAGAAGAAATGCCTGTAAATCTATCTCCCCAGCAAATACCAATTAAGGATTGCTCATTGCACAAGGCAGGTGCATATCTAGATAAAATTTCTGGTATCTAATTTAAACTTTACAATGTGCACAACCAGATAATCTCAATGTAAATAATTCATTTCTTCATGGCTCTTTTATGCATGTTTATGTACTACAAGCTGATCTAGATTTACAGCTGTACAGAGTATAAACTTCTTTTGCTACGTGCAGTTATTACAAACAGTAGTTATGCTGCCTTGGTGTAAAGGCTATAATATGTTTTTAGCATTGAGCAGGAAGAAGCTGAATGTTTAAGGATGAATACTGATTCCCAGGCCTTCAGAGAGACTGAAAATTTCACAGTAATGATATGCTCCATCTCTAGGAATGGGTGCCAGTTTTATCATGAGCAGCAATGACTGCGTGACAATTTGTAGGGCTTTGTTTATGCTGTTCATCAGCCCACCCAAAAGTTGAGATGCTATATAAGATAAGTTGCAGCAGTTCCATGACATTTGCAGCAAATGCTGACATACTCCAAACTGGGTGTTTGCAAAAAAAAATTTTTTTTTTTTGGTTGATTGTGATCAAATAACCTGGGAAATTATATTATGGTAGGAGTTAATTCTGAATACTCAACAAGTCCAATTTGTTTTCAGATAGGTAGCAGACTATTAGGTTCCCTAACCCAGGGCCATATTTATACTGCACAAGTGGATGCTATTGACTTAAATGAGAATGTTTGTGGAGTAAGGCATAACTGAACATTAGAAAAAGTATCCAAGGCAGGCCCTCACTGTTTACATGCATGTACTTAGCGAATGATTAAGTGCTTACTTTAGTCTAGTGTACGTACTTAGTAATATAAGGGAAGAGTTGGTGTAAAAATGGGTTTGCTATTGTTTCCGCCATCCTTTGCATATTTCTGATTACCCTGAAAACTCTCCACCTTTAGGCAGAGTTGCCAAATTTGTAAAGGCAGCTGTGGCCTCTCTTATGTGTTGGGTAAAAAGTACAGGAGATGTACAAAAAAGGTGCAGGAGTCTGAATATTATTTTTTGCCACCATTGTAGAGTAATGCTTCTCAAACCAGGAGGCGACTAGCATTTTACAATTGAAGTTTTGAGTTAGACAAAGCTAAAATGAGTGGTGCAGAGATGTTGCCAGCTTTGTATACTCTACAACCACTCTGTAAATGTAGATATTTTTGAAATAGCAGAAACATCCCTTTTTAATAGATATGCAACCTGATCCAAAAAGGCATTTGGTGTGCAAGGAGAACGCAGAATGTCTTAAGTTAGACAAGGGACAGTCAGCAACTAAAGTCAAGTTAGTAAATTATTTTTACCTTGACCCCATAATGTCAGAATAACCAAGCTTAGCAATTTGTTTTATTAAGGAAAACAGAAAATGTAGGGCTGAATGGGGAAAAAGATCTAGCTCCAGATATTACTCTTAACTATGTGTACCTTAATGCTGTTAAAGCCGTTACTGTTTCTTTGACCTCTTGGTATACTTAGCTTTTGCCTTTCAGAAACAGCTGGGTCTGCTAAGAACCATTTCCCAATTCTACACAAGGTAGATCAGATGACTCTCGCTTTATCACCCTTGGAGGCCATCTGAAGGACAAAGAAAAGAGATACACACAAAACTAATGTTTTTATATGGTGGGGAACACTTGGCCCTAATCTTGTGATGAATACAAGACAGACGAGACTAACTGAAATGTGAAACTATTCCACTTTCTTCCATCTTAGTTGGATGTTTTACACATTCTTTTATTGAAAATAGAGGTTCACCACATTGCTTTAACTTTTGGCAGTGTTTCACTAAGTTTATTTGCGCAAAATTCTGTAGGAGTTATTTCTCAATCACTGTGGACTCTTTCTATGGCTGATACATGTAACTACCCACTCCTTTTTAAAAGAAAGAAAAGATTTTATTGTGGATGGAAATTTTGCATCTCTTACACATGGATAATTATCATGGTAACACCCGCTCAGAAGAATGTTAAATGTTTATGGAAAGGTTACAGTTACAGCTTGGAATAAACTGTCATACACTAGGTCAAGTGCTGTCTGTCTACATATATAACTGCAGTTCAGTAATGCCTTATATGTTAAGTGGAATGTTATACCTCGTACAAAATAAAGCTGCCTTCTAGAAGTGTTGGTAATTACTTGTTGACAAGATTAAGACAAGTTGTTTCACCAAGAAGTACACTGCCTCTTTTAATTAAAGAAATGTAAACTCAGTGGATAGAAACCTCTTTTAAGTGACCTCATAATTCATACATGGGGAAGTAAGTTCATAGAACACCTGCTACATACATTCATGTCTTATGCTACACACCAGAGACAGCTCTAGAATATTTTAATGTCAATGACACTTTGGTATTTTGCTCAGAGTAATCAAGTTAATATGGGAATGCCCTTAAACAAGGATGGTTCATCCTTTCATGTGTGCCTAGTCTGATTTCAGCTTCTAGGCTGTACCTATCTCCAATGATACCAGCTCAAGGGCTCTCTTTCCCCCATTCAGCCCTTTTATACTGGTTCTTATGATTTCTGCTTTTGTGTTGTATAATTACATTAATTAGTTTGTATTCTCTGAGCTGCTAATATACTGTGCAGAGTGCCATTCAAATAAGAAAGATAACAAACAAGTATCTCAGTCTGGAAGTTATTCCACATCAATTTGCAGCAGAATCCACTCGCTCCTTGTTTCAGAAGTAGGCTGGAGTAGCTCAGCTTCCATTTTAGTAAAATTAAGTTATTGTGGTTATATGAAACCTTTTTATTTTTTAAATACTAATTTAAAAGACACTTACCCAAGGCTCTTGGTGTCTTAACACAACATTAATGCAATAAAATCCTAGAAGCATTAATCACTTGAACAGGAACTCAGCTAAAGGTGAACAGTGTAAACTTAGGCAGTGTTGTCTTCCTGCATCTGCTGACAGTCTGTAACAATAACTGAGAAGTATAGACTGGCTCAGTTCATCTCAGTAGGGTATTAAATCTGAAGCCTAATATTAACAGAATACATGTCAAAATTAGCTTTCGCTGTTAAACATTGTAATAGATTTTCTGTAAATGTGATTATCCAGTATTGCTTGATGCAGTTCTGACTATTCATAGGGAAGTAAGTGAGGTAGCTACTACTAGGAACAAGAAGTCACATCTGCCCAGTCCATAAGGGAGAGGTAGAGAGATACAGTCTCTGCCATGTGCAAGAAGCATCAACTCTCCTATAGCCAGCTGTCCAAAACTCCAGTTCTCTCCCCCCACCACCATCAACTTCTACATTGCAGTTCTACATTTTTCAGTACAAAGTTCTGTGACCCAGAGTGTTGGGACAGCATAAATAATGCAAGGACTACTATGCCCATTAGTCATTTTAATATTCATTTCAGCAAAAACCTACAGTTCCGCTTGTGGCTGATGAAACAGGACTTTGGCCTACAGAATACTCTGAACATTCTAGAGAAGAAAATGCAGTTTAACCAGATTTTAATTTAAAAATTGACAATTATCTACAGAGATGTGTAGTTTGTAAGTTTTATTACCCATATGAAAAAAGATATGTAGGAAAAACAATAGCAGCAACCACAGCACCCTGAAACTCTTGTTAGAATAAAAATGGACTTCAGCTGGTAAAGGGGTTATTGCCAGAGTAAGATGGTCATGTTACCATGAGCTATGATAGTGCGTCATGGATATCAGTGCAGTGGCCTTGATGATTTTAAGCACATCATATGAAAGCATCATGGCAGTGAAATAGTGTGCAAGGCAGTTTAATTTATGTAATCAAAAGAGGCCAGCAAGAGGTACCACTTAGAAGCAACAGCCAAGAGTTATTGTTTAACCCATATTTGTATCTCTTCCAAATTTCATGCTGGGAAATGTATGACTTGACAGTAGCAAATTATATTTGTGGCTTTGCTAAATTAAACTGGCACTGCTAGTTAAGGGTCAAGACTTCCTGTATTTAATCATTTACAGTTTACAAATAGCCTTTTCATATTGGAAAACCATATCAGAAGTATTAACGTTCTTGAGAATATAACAAGTTGAGTTAAATTTCAAACACTGTTTGGTAATAGCTACTCTTCCTCCTTAAAATAAAAATCATTCTTTGTGTTTAAATGTAAAAATTTGTTTCCTAGTTTTCATTAGATCATGGGAAATATACTAAATAAGACAGTGATTTAAAGCTGCCTATTGTAACTGATATTTTCACTGAAAATATTCTCTTTCCAGTTTAGTCTTGAGTTTTCACAGGTTAGAATTTAACTAATTGATTTTCTTCTGATTTCTACCATTTCTTGAGTCCCACAGTACAATAGCATTAAAATACATCAAGAAAAATAAGAAGTGTAAGCAGGAAACAACAGACACAGATACAGGAAATAAATCTGGTAGCTTCTGTGGAGGAGTCAGTGTGGCACTCATTAAAGTGAGGATGCCCATCAGAGTTACTGAGACAATAAACTGTAAGATAAAGAATGATACATTAGTTACCATTGATTTACAGTGTCAAATGAATAAGTTACTTTCATTGCTTAGGTGCTTTGAGTTCTTCATCCTCTATATAGATGACCTCTTCGAAAATACAGTGTGCATCTATACCAGTGGTTCCCAAACTTTAACAACCTGTGAACCCCTTTCACTAAAATGTCAAGTCTCACGAACCCCCTCCTAAAAATGAATATTTCTAGGGATTTTCTCCTTTACCTGAGTATAAATTATAAAAGCAGTGATCTTGGAAATATAAAATTTGTTTTTGACATGCTTATTACACACTATTATTATTTATCATTACAGTATTTTTATTACATTATGAAAACGGCAACACTCTTCCAAGATCTCACTTTGGTAGCTTGTATCACTTTGAATAAGCCTGTTATAAGACAAGGCTCCTATGTTTCATCAAGGAGTATCAGATATGAAACAGCAGGAAGGGATTTAAGAAGCCAACTCAGAGTTCCTCATACACAAGCATTCAGGTCTTGAGCAGCCCAGGCAAACAACACACATTACAACAAAGCTTAAACTTCTTCTTCATAATTTTAAAAACAATACTAGCTGCCTATTTCATTTTTAAAAAACAGCAAAAAATATTCACCTCCCTTTCCATTTCTTATAAGGAGTCTTGAAGTGTGATGGGGCTCCGTGCTTCTGGCCCCGTGCTGCCCGGGGTCCCTAGGGACAGCTCTGTCCGCCATTAGGGAATT